ATATGCGTGCTGTACCGCGTTGATCCTGCTACGTCTCCTTCTCCTTTTCCTCTTTCTCTTCTAGCACTGCTGCTGCAGCAGCTCTTCTCCTGCTGCTGCTGCTGCTGCTGCTGCTGCTGCTGCTGCTGGTGCTGTGATGGCTTCATCTCTGCCTGAGGTGAGCGGCCGCATCCGCACGTTTGTGCGGGTGCGCCCCCCGCAGGGCGACGAGCTGCAGCACCCCACCGCCGTGCATCTCTCTCCCCCCGCAGCAGCAGCAGCAGCACCACAACCACCAGCAGCAGCAGCAGCAGCAGCAGCAGCAGGAGGATCTCGTATAGAAGTGCAAGACAAATCTCGTCGTCAGCGTTGGTGTTTTGAGGTGGATGGTGTATATGGACCAGCAGCAACACAGAAAGATATATGGGGCCCCATAGAAAGATGTATACAAAGAGTAGTCGATGGATACAGCTGCTCTGTATTTACACACGGGCACACAGGCACAGGAAAAACCTTCACCATGCTGGGCCCAGAGTTTATACAAATTTGTAACCCCTTACTCACCAAGATACACACAAACAACAAGCAAGCGAGGATGCAGCTCGTACAGAAGAGATTACAGGCTGCTACTGAGTAAGCAAACCCTAAACCCTAATAAACCCTAAACCCTAATAGTTAATAGTTAAACACTAAAAGGTAGAGTTTATACAAATTTGTAACCCATTGCTGCAGAAGATACATACTAACAATAAACAGGCGAGGATGCAGCTAGTACAGAAAAGGCTGCAGGCGGCTACTGAGTAAGCAAACCCTAGTAAACCCTAATAAACCCTAAACCCTAAACCCTAATAGCTAAACCCTAAACACTAGTAATTGAATACAAATTTGTAACCCCTTACTCACCAAGATACACACAAACAACAAGCAAGCGAGGATGCAGCTAGTACAGAAGAGATTACAGGCTGCTACTGAGTAAGCAAACCCTAGTAAACCCTAATAAACCCTAAACCCTAATAGTTAATAGATAAACACTAAAAGGTAGAATTCATACAAATTTGTAACCCCTTACTCACCAAGATACATACAAACAACAAGCAAGCGAGGATGCAGCTAGTACAGAAAAGGCTGCAAGCTGCTACAGAATAAACCCTAAACCCTAAACCCTAAAACCCTAAACCCTAAACCCTAAACCCTACTAAACCCTAAACCCTAGGAATTAAACCCTAAACCCTAAACCCTAAACCCTAGANTAAACCCTAAACCCTACTAAACCCTAAACCCTAGGAATTAAACCCTAAACCCTAAACCCTAAACCCTAGATCCTTAGTGATATACCTTATACAAAAAACCACAAATACCTTAAACCCTAAACCCAGGATATAACTTGTAAGAAGAAGACTCACCGCAGCAACACAGGAAACCCTAAACCCTAAACCCTAAACCCTAAACCCTTAATCCTAAACTGTAAACCCTAAACTCTCAGTCTTAAAGCCTCAACTCAGTATGCTAAACCCTAAACCCTAAACCCTAAACCCTAAACTACAAACCCTGGACGGTAAGTTTTATATTTTCAGCAGATACACCAGAGGACTCGCACCATCCTAAACCCTAAACCCTAAACCCTAAACCCTAAACTGTAGATACAGCTAGGGTTTTTGTTTTTTTTGCTTTCTATTGCAGCCGCATCCCCGCCCTCCTCAACTCGGAGACCTGCGGCATCATACCCAGGGCCTGCGAGCGGATCGTTCAGCTGTAAGCAGCAGCAGCAGCAGCAGCANAGCAGCAGCAGCAGCAACAGCAGCAGCAGCAGCAACAGCAACAGCAGCAGCAGCAGCAGCAGCAGCAGTAGAAGCAGTAGTAGAAGCAGCAGTAGCGGCAGCAGCAGCAACAAAAGTAGCAGCATCAGTGACAGTAGAGGCACCAACACTAGAGACAGCATCTGCATTAGCAGCAGCAACAGCAGCAACAGCAGCAGCAGCAGCAGCAGCAGCAGCAGCAGTATATGTTTTGTTTTTTTTTGTTGCTGCAGCGTGAGGAGTCGCTATGGTGAGGGGTCACAGGCGAGGATGTTTGCTTCTTACATTCAAATATATAACGACAAACTCGTAGACCTGCTAGCAGTAAGTCCTAAACACCAGCAGCAGCAGCAGCAGCAGCAGCAGCAGCAGCAGCAGCAGCAGCAGCAGCAGGAGTAACCATAGCAGCAACAGAGACAGCAGCAGATGTAGCAGCAACTGGTGTAGCAGTAACAGCACCAACGGCAGCAGCAAGCAGCAGCTGTAGTAGTAGTACTAGCATCTGCAGCAGCAGCAGCAGCAGCAGCAGCAGCAGCAGCAGCAGCAGCAGCAGATGTATATGTTTGTGGTTGTGTTTGTTGTGAAGGACCCCACGGCCAAGGCGACCCCTCTCAGCATCGTGCGGAGCCCCACCAACCCCACGGCCACCGTCGTACAGGTATTTCAAGGGTTTAGGGTTTAGGGTTTAGGGTTTAGGGTTTAGGGTTTTGGGGGGCTCGGATATATATATATATATATATATATATATATATATATATATATATATATATATATATATATATATAT